GCTGTCGCCCTTCGTGGCCTACTTCGTGTATTTGTGGCCCTGCTGTCGTTCTCTCTCGCTCTCGCTTTCTCTCGTCGTCGTCGTCGCCATCGTCGTCGTCGTCGTCGTCGTTGCCGCCGTCGTCGACGTCGTCGTCGTCGGCGTCGTGGTCGGTCCCCTGTCCGTCCCTCTTGGGGTCGGGTCGAGGGTCCGCGGCCGCCCCGCCGATCAGCGCTGCCGCTGGCCAGGCCGACGATCCGCGGCCGCCCCGCCGCTTGCCGGGGCCCGGCCTGCAGGGAAGAAAGGTAGACCCTCTAAAAGAGGTTCGATCGAAAACGAAATGGCGGGGTATCGAGGGTTTGGGACATACGCGTTATTGGACACTCGAGCAGACAAGGGCGAACAGTCTGAAACTGATTGTTGTTGTTGGTTTCCCCCCTCGGAGCCTGGGGGGGCCAGAGAATAAATCACAAACGCTGACACACAAACCCGAGTGAGGTTTTTTTCTGGGGTTCCCCCCTCTGCCCCGTAGTGGGGGGGATGGGCCAGAGGACCCCCCAGAAAACCAAAGGAAAAACCCGATACAAAACCGAATAAACCAAGACAACCAATGGAAATCCCACCGAGCAGCTCCCGAATGGGGGATTCCCTTGGGTTTTCCCGACGCGATTTTCGGAGGTTTTGTTGGACCTGCCCGGCAACGTCGTGACAACATGTTTTTCTCACAAAAGCATGTGTGTATATATGTATATACAAAACTGGATATATACATATTTACACATACATATGTATGGTGTTTATATGTATATACATATTATGTACATGTCTATACAAAACTGGTTGTTTTAAGTGTGCCCCCCAGACCCCTCCAAAACCCTCCAAGTACCCCCCAGACTTTTTTTGCTGGTTTGTTTTGTTCCCCCCTTTTATTCAATAGTTTTTTTTTCGGAGGGGGGGCTTTTTGAAGGATCCCATGGGGCTTCCACACCTGCCTCGGTCGTACGTGCGTTCCCAAAAGAGCCGCGCAGTTCTCCTTCTCCTCCTCCTCCTCCTTCTCCTCCTCCTCCTCCTCCTCCTCCTCCTCCTCCTCCTCCTCCTCCTCCTCCTCTCTCCTCCTCCTCCTCCTCCTCCCTCGTCCTCGTCCTCCTCCTCCTCCTCCTCCTCTTCCTCCTCCTCCTCCTCCTCCTCCTCCTCTGGGGCTCTGCTCCTCAGAGCCTCGGTGCCTGGGCCCCCCTCCGTGGCCCCTCTCGCCCCGGCGGCGCCCAGGGCGCGGGCGGCTCGCGGGGTGCGCGAGGGCCCTCCCCCTCCTCGCCCTGCTCCTCCTCCGCTTCCTCCTCCTCCTCGTCCTCCTCCTCCTCGTCCTCCTCCTCCTCCTCGTCCTCCTTATCCTCCTCCTCCTCGCCCTCCACGTCCTCGTCCTCTTCGTCCTCCTCGCTCCTCTCCTTTTCCTCCTCGTCGTCCTCCTCCTCCTCCGCCTCCTCCTCCTCGTCCTCCTCGTCCTCCTCCTCCTTGTCCTCCTTCTCCTCGCCCTCCTCCTCGTCCTCGTCCTCCTCATCATCATGGCCCTTCTCCTCCTCCTCCTCCTTCTCCTCCTCCGCCTCATCCTCCTGGCCCTTCTTCTCCTTCTCCTCCTTCCTCCTCGGGGGGCGGGGGCTGGCGCGAGAGGTCTGGGGCGGCCACGAGAGGGGGGTGATTCAGCGGCACCGTAGCGGGCACCGACAGAGTTGCCAATTTATAGGGCCTGTTTCTGGCATGGCAGCGTTGCCCACATCGGGGAGGATTGGGTGTCGCCAGGTCACTGGCCAAAGTGCCCGTGAGGAGAGTCCCCCGGGTTGGCAGTCAGCTGGGCGTTGCTCAAGGTTATTTCTATAGAGCCAGAAGCCAGTGTAGACATAAGGTGCCGTTGAGAATATCCATGTCGTCTGGGGCTGAGAAGCTGCGGTGCTGCGCTGACGCCGCGAGAGTGCGGGTCTGCTGCCGGTGCGACCTCAAAGGCGGGCGGTTTTGGAATTTCCTTCAGTGTTGGGGTACTGTTATGCGTTATGTGTAACCCTTCTTTTTTGTGGGGTGGGGCTTCCTCTCCGCTGTTCCTCGCGTCTCCGCCTCTCTTGCCCTGCGTCCCGCTTCCTCGCCATATTGTCGCCCGTGCTACTTTCATTTTCTCGCGTGTTGGATTCTCGTGTTCTCTCCGCTGCGCCGCGCGGTCCCTCCTAGTCCTTTCGCCCCCCCATATCTCCTTCCGCCATTGCTGCCGCCGCGCCCATTTCGGCGCCTCCTTGCGCGGATCGCGCGCCCATGAGGAGCTCCCAGCGTGGCCCCTGTGGGTCGCTCGACGCCAACGTGTTGTTTTCGGCGCGCCCGCCCCGCGGACAATGCCCCAGCATGGGCGCCCCTTGCCCCTTCGGAAGAACTCGCGCGCTGGATGCGCGCCCGTATCGTCGCGCCCATGAAGCGTATCGCGCCCGACTAGGCGCTCCATCGATGGGCCGCGAGGAGGAATTCGCACGGCGGCGCTGCACCCATTGCGGCGCGTTAGCGACGTGCACCGCGCCCTTTGGAAAGGTCCATCTACAGCCCCATCGGAGGGGTCCGCAATTCGTCTGTGCGCCCATTTCGGCGCACCGTTCGCACGAATCGCGCCGAGGGAGCCGATTGCTGACGATTTCGCATTTGTCGAGGGTAATATGATGATACCAAACGATCTCGAAACGCACAACAATGGTAGACATTATGGCCGTGACGACACGGGCCTCGCTATGTCAACGGCATTTGCGGTTTGCGGGGTGCCTGGAACTAATGTATATTTCGTTTCCGGTTGACATTAGAATTGGCGCTATGTCAGCCGATAGTGTTTCTCTTCGACACTCAGTTGTGCCTTATGTCTACGCGTCTCGGGGTGGTATACATTACCTGTTCTCTTGTGTTTACGATTGTCGGTGTAGACATTCGATGGGGCGCGTCTGGTTTTCGCTTATGTCTATAGACAGGTGTCTGTGTCGACTTGTGGTTGCGGCCTTGCGCGTAGACGTAAGTGGGGCGCTGTTTCGTCGATCTTGTCTAGAAGCAAGTGGTTGGCTTGATATGCGGTTTTGGCCCTGCTTCAGACTGACCCGTTGGGCAGGCGGTCGCCAGTGGCACCAGGGGGATGCGGAGCGCGCCGAAGAAATTCGGGATAGGGGAGGGCTGGCATGGAAGTGCGACAGGGATGTTGGCAAATCACGAAGGACGGAAGGCGGGGGGAATGAGATGTGCGGGGGGAAAGCAAAGGTTCCAGGAGGCAATGTTGAAAATTGGAAATTGCCACAATGGGCACATGGCGTGGGGAAGGGGGCGAGGTAGGAGAAGGCAGGGGGTGAACGAAACTGGATTGTGGAACGTGGAGGGCGGAATGAAACATGGCGGCGGCGTAGGGGGGCGGGAGGGGGCGCCGCGAGGGGCGGGGGCAGAGGCGGAGGAAATGTTGTTCGGGAGGGGTGGGGTGGGAGGAGGGGGGGGGGCGGGGTTGAATGGGGGCGGTGAAGGAGTGAGGAACACATTGAACGTGGAAGGCGGAGGGATGACGAGCGGGGATGGGCGGGGGGGGATGGGTCAATGCGAAATTGGGAAACCGAAAGAAGGATGCAGGTTGATGCGGGGGGAGGGCGGGGGTGGCGAGGGGAAAACAGAACACCGAGCGCGACGTTTTGGCATCGGTGGTATCACCGTGGGTCGCCTTCCTCACCCCCTTCGCCCTTCTCCCTGCCAGCATTGCTCCTCTCGCTGTAACCCCCATCCATGCCCCGCCGAGGGCGCATTTCGATCGGTTCCCCCTCCACTCGGCTCCAGCGCCGAAATATCTTTAGGCGCTTTAAAGTCTATGCCAGCGTTGTGCGTGTACCTCCCTATAGAAGATACCCCCAATTACAGCCAACCCCCGGGTAGATTGGCGGTGAGTGATGATCATGTGTGGGGACATCATGGCCAGGGCCACAGTCTCCTAGGATATCTTGGCCCACCCTGGTGAAGCGCAGTCGGATGGTACAGGATGCTGCGGCCAGGGCGGGCAGGCCATCCTCGCGTTTTTCTTTCACGCACCTGGTCGAATGGATGAAATAGGAATACAATTGAAACTATCGTCCTCTGACCCCTTCCCTGGGCCGCGCACATCGAGGCCTCTTACATGGGGTCGGAGGATCGCGCCGTATCGCCGATGCATGGGCGATGCGCCGGCGCTCTGCCGCCGCCCCTGGCGTACTCCGCGCGCCGCGCCAGGGTGTGGGGTCCTGCGCAGATCCAAGGAATCCGCGCGGAACGTCGACAGTTGGTGTTTATGCCTTATGCCGTTTCTTCTTTTTCTTCCACCAGGCCGGTCCGTTGGTGGTGTGCGGCGGTGCGTTGCGGCCCAGTGCCCGCAGTGGCGCTGCCGTGCATCCTTGCGCGGCCGATCCGATTCGATTCTCAGGGGGGGGGGGGAAAGGTACCTTCACCGATACCATTCCCTCGCTTTCGCCTCTTTGGGCATCCTGGGTGGCCCTCATCGCCATAGTTGGATCCGTCTCGAAATTCTGGTCAGAAGGCACCCTGGGAGACGTCAGGGGAGTGGCGATATCGGTATCCTTGGTTTCGCCAGATCCCGAGCCCGTGCCGATGCGGCCAGATATCCGACCTCGCGACCCGACGCGCAGAGGCTTTCATCCGAAAGGCGGCCACCGAGGCTGATGTCCTCGATCCTCGAAACTCTACCCTCGACCCTCTACCCTCAAGGCTCGAACAAACCACCCGAACCTTGATCCTCGAACCTCGATCCTCGAACCTCGATCCTCGAATCTCGATCCTCGAACCTCGAACCTCGAACCTCGATCCTTCAACCTTGATCTTTGATCTTTGATCCTCGATCCTCGAACCTCGATCCTCGAACCTCGATCCTCGAGTCTCGAACCTCGATCCTCGAACCTCGATCCTCGATCCTCGATCCTCGAACCTCGAACCTCAGTCTCGACCCTCGACCCTCGAGGCTCGAACAAACATTGCCGCGCGGCGAGGGCCTCTGCTACCACAACCCGAGCGGGAAGGGCAAGCACAACCCGGCCTGGACGGACCGCATGCTCCTCCAGGCCGACTCCAGCAAGGCAGAGGTCTCCTCCTCCTCAACCTCCTCCTCCTCATCCCCCCTCATCCCCCCTCCTCCTCATCTTCCTCCTCCTGCTCCTCGTCCTCCTCCCTCCTCCTCCCTCCTCCCCTCCCTCCTCCCTCCTCCGCCCTCCTCCTCCTCCTCCATCCTCCTCCTCCTTCCTCCTCCTGCTCCTCCTTTTCCTCGTCCTCCTCCCTCCTCCTCCCTCCTCCTCATCGTTCTACTGCTCCCTCCTCCTCCTTCTCCTCCTCCTCCTCCTCCCTCGTCCTCCATCCTCGTCGTCGTCGTCGTCGTCCTCCTCCTCCTCCTCCTCCCTCCTCCCTCCTCCTCCTCCCTTCTCCCTTCTCCTGCTCCTCCTCCTCCTCCTCCTTCTTTTCCTCCTCTTCCTCCTCCCCCCCCTCCCTTCTCCCCTCCCTCCTCCCTCTTCCTCCCTCCTCCCTCCTCCTCCTCCTCCTCCTCATCCTCCTCTTCCTCCTCCTCCTCCTCCTCCTCCTCCTCCTCCTCCTGCTCCTTCATCCTTCAGAGGCACAGACGCCTGGCACAGGGGGTTCCCCGGAAGGGACAGGGCCCAGACCAGATCCAGGGGAGCCCCCGAGGACGCCAACCCCAGAGCCCTGGCACCCCCTGACCGGAGACGACGGAGGTCTCGAGGTGAGCCTCCAACACCCCCATCCCTTTTCTTTATTCCAGGGAGGAATCCCCACCTGGACCCGATCATCGGCGTTTGCTAAAAGGGCATCCACGCCGTGCCCCAGGGGAGGCGCGGCACGGGCGGGCACCCTCTCGTGGGGCGCGCACGCCTCCGGCGTTCCGCTTCGCTTCCCTCCCTCCCTGCCTTCCCCCCTCCTTCCTCCTTCCCCCCCTCCTTCCTCTTTCCCCCCCTTCCTCCTTCCTCCTCCTCGGTTCCCTCCTTCCTCCTGCCTTCCCCCCCCCCCTCTCCCCGACTCCTCCCTCCCTCCCGCCTTGACATCCTCTGCCTCCCGCCCTCCTCTCCCGCAGGCTGCTCCCCACCGTCCGTCCGCCCTCTCGTCCGTCCCCGGCCGCCCTCTCCTGCTGCTCCGTCTCCGCCCTCCATCCCCGGCCGTCCTCAGGGCCGTGCTGCCTCCTCCTCCGGCGCCGCGGCGCGTCTCCGCGCGTCCTCACGTCCGCGCGGCCGCCCCGTGCGCCCACTGGCGCACCGCGGGCGACCTCCGACTCCTCCTGCCACCCCCCGTGCTCTCCCCCTCTCCGCAGCCAGCTGGCGCCCGCAGCATGACTTACCGTGGAGACCCATGCCAAGACACACCCTGCTTGCCTGCAGTGTGCCCTGGGTTTCTTGGCTTTCGATGGATTTGCGATGGAAAACGCGACGCTCCCAAACCAACAATCAAAGGACGTCCTGGGGTCTCAGGGTTGGCACGACGTGCTGTATTCTAGGCCTCCCAGACGGGGTCGAAATAGATGGGGTCGGAGCATAGCTCCGCATTTCCGATGCATCGCCGCTGCGGATCGATTTGGGGCCCGATTTGCTTCACGTCGACGTCGCCGATGCATCGCCGACGTCGCCGATGCATCGCCGATGCGTCGCCGATACATCGGCGATGCATCGGCGATGCGGCGCGATCCTCCGACCCTATCTACTCCGACCCCATCTAGGAGGCCTCTATATTTGCATGATGAATTAACCTCTGTGTGGACATCGTTCTGTGACCTGACTTGACCCGATCTGCCCTCCTGTGTTGTGGGGGGGGCACAGGAGGAGGGGGCACAGGAGGTCATATCGGGTCAAGTCAGGTCTGGGGCCTCCAGGGGGTGGGGGCCTCCCCTCCTGGGGGGGCCTCCCCTCCCCCTCCGGCACGCCAGCGGGGCCCCCAGGAGGAAGCCTTCCCAGAGCCGGAGGGCGCCAGCCGCGCACGCGTGCACGGGCCCCGCCCGGATCGGCCCGCGATGTCGGGCCCCGCGCGCAGCAAGGGCGCCCCTTCTGCTGGCCAGGGCCGGCGTGTGCGCGCGGGCTTTGCGCGCAGCTGGCGCACATGCCGCCGCCGTCGCCGCCAGTGCTCCTCCCCCGATGCACGCCAGTCTCCCAGATCCCAATCTGCTTCAAGCACCTCCCTACTTCAAGAGTCGATCTGCTTTTGCTCTGTCTGTCCTTCTCCGGGAGGGCCTGAACCCAACCTACTTTCTCCGCCTTCCTGCTTGGTGTTTTTACCTACCTCTTCCGACCGATGTGTATCCCCTGGGCCGCGGAGGTGGAGGTCCTGGAGTACTCGCGCCGGGTCGTCTCGGAGGAGTTCGGGTCCGACCACGTCCCCGTCGTGGGGCGGCTCCACGTCCGCCCCGTGGCCTGGGCGTTGGGGGCGAAAGGTAGGCCCCTCGTCGCCGTGGCTGGAGACAATGTTTTTATCTCTGGCGAGACTGGGCGTGACAGGGGGGGTGGAGGGGTGGAGGGGTGGAGAGGGCCAGTCGCGTCACGATTTGCGCTGGCGCTGCCTGGGAATGTCTTAGGGATGGCAAATCCCCAGACGGCGCCGGCGCGAGTCGTGACGCTAGCAGGGAGGGTGGGGCAGGGGGGGTGGGCCAGCCAGTCATCTTTTGGGTGTTATGTATGTATGTATGTATGTATGTATGTATGTATGTATGTATGTATGTATGTATGTATGTATGTACGTATGTATGTATGTATGTATGTATGTATGTATGTATGCATGCATGCATGCATGCATGCATGTATGTATGTATGTATGTATGTATGTATGTATGTATGTAAAGGTATTGCGAATAGTAGAACTTTGCTCCGATGTTCGCCTGCGAGGCCTGTCCAGAAAGCGTCCCGTGAGAGGTCACTGGAGTGGCTCCTTCAGACTGGGATCATACAGATCCACCCCACGGGAAGCCGCTCTTCCTGGACTTTGGGTATGGGCGTGTGTGGGCCCCACCGTCCAACTACACATCCGTATTCACTGGCCCCTAGGGTCGCAGGACGTCGGTTCCCCGGTTCCCCAGGCGGTGGATACGCATAAGTTTAATGTCGGGCTTGTCCCTCTACATTTGTAACTATTTTGGAGGATGTTTGGCCTATCTTTAATCTTCCGTCCAAAATCCGCCTGTAGGGGGACATGCCCGACCGAAGCATGAGTCCCCGACGCGCAGTAGCCGCATCGATGTCTGTGTGTTCCCTCCCAGGCTGCCAAGCTGGAACGCCTGGATCACTGGCTCGGCGACGCGTGAGCCGCCCTGGCGACGCCCCAATGTCACAAAGAGGAGCGTGCGCGCGCGACGCTGGTCTGCCTCTTGCCGCTCCTGCTCTGGTTGCTGCTGCTGCTGCTGCTGCTGCTTGCCGCTCCTGCCTCTGCTCTTCTCTCCTCTCCTCCTCTCCTCCCCTCCTCTCAGTCTCTCATTTCCCTTCTCCTCCTCGGTCTCGTCCTCCTCTTCCCCGTCGTCGTCGTCCTCCTCCTCGTCCTCCTCTTCTCCTTCTCCTAGTGAAACGGTGCATGTGGAGAGCGGGAGCGCACAGCACGGAAGAGCAGGCAGTTCAGGCAGCGTTCGCTCAGCCCACTTGGGCTTAAGCAAGCCGAGGTTTCTCCTTGGCTGAACTGTCGACAGAGAGAGAGAGAGAGAGACGGATTCCAGAAAAAGACATTCAGAGTATCCATATCAGGCATGATGGCGACGAAGACGTTCCGAGACCAGATTGCCAGGCCGAGTTGCCACGCAGACGTGGAGGAAGCAGCCAGTGGTCATTCGAGTCTCCTCGTCCTCTTCCTCCTCCTCCTCCTCCTCCCCCTTCTCCACGTAGCTCGTAGCTGGTGGCATTGGGTCGGTTCAGGGGCTGCCACCGCCCTCCTACTCCTCCTCTTCTTCCTCCTCCTCCTCCTCCTCCTCCTCCTCCTCCTCCCCTCGCCGTCCTCCTCCCCTCGCCTCATCTCCTCTTCTCGCCTCGTCCATTTCCCCACACCCTCCTTTCCACTCCTCGTCCCCTCCTCCCTGCTTCACGCTCCCTTCTTCCTCCATCTTCGCCGCTCCACTTACGCCCTCCTCCTAAGGAAGGGACGGAAGCGCCGTCGCGGCCGAGGGCTCCCGCCCGAGGTCCGGGCGGGCACTTCCCCCGAGGCTTCTTTCTCTTTGGCGCCGGCCCCGCCCAGCAGCGGACAATCCTTCGCACGGAGCAGCCCGTGACTCCCTCTCGCCTCCTTCGTCCTCTGATTGAACGTTCTCGCAGAGCCCTTGCTTTCTTTTGAGCGAGTGCGAGGCTGTGCGTTGATGTGACCGATCTCCAGCCAAAGTTCAGTATACCTCGTTGATGAAGATTCGCATGGAGCTCCTCCCCGATGTGGTGTTACCAGTTGGGGTAGCAGTGCCGCCCTGGCCTTTACCCCCGTTGGGGGGTCGGCGGTCTCGCGACCCAGGCGTGTCATGTCTGGTTTTCAGATGCTTGATCTGCCTGCTGCTTCTAGCGAAATCGCACAATGAGGCCGCTTGGGGGATCAGCGTCTTCTACGACACTTCCACGCGTCCAAGCGTCATTCAGCGCTGATGGAAGGGATGGGCCAGATGGGGTAGGACGTCAGGTATGGCTTGCGCGCGCCTCAGCTTGCCTCCCCTTCCCCCTCTCCTCCATGCCCTGCTCCCTCCTTTTCTGCCCGCCTCTCCCGCTCGCCCCTTGGCTTTTTTCGTTTTGCTGGGCGTCCCCGCGTGCCGATCGCGGCTGTGGCGCGCCGCCCCTATCCACCAGGAGGGTCGGTCGGTCGGGCGGGTGGGGCCTGATTGTCATTGTGCACCTGTGGTCCTACGCAGTGCTGCGGGTCTGGGAAGGAGGAGGGGTAATTCGGAGGCGGAGGAGGGCCAGGGCAAGGATGGTAGTGAAGGTGGTGGTGATGATTATGATGAGGATGAGGTTGGTGACGAGAATGAGAGGTCGATGATGCTTGTCATGAGCGTGGTCATCGTGCTGGCGATGACGATGCCGATGCTGACGATGATGGTGGCGCGTATATTGATGTTTGTTGTGACGAGGATTGTAAAGTACGGCTGGGAAGTCTGACGGTGGTACTGATGGTGGTGAAAATGATGAAGCTGCTGCTGATGCTGAGCAGTGCGGGGAGGAGTGTGGGGAGGAGGAGGGGGAGGAAGAGGAGAAGGATGAGGAGGAGGAGGAGGAGGAGGAGGAGGAGGAGGGGGAGGAGGAGGAGAAGCATGAGGAGGAGGACGACGACAGCGACGCCGACGGCGGCGAGCAGTCGTGCCCGCGCGCGCCAGCGGAGGGCAGCTGCAGCTTCTCGCGCCGGGACCGGGGCGCTTCTCGTTGCGTGATGTACGATCTCGAACCAAAACTCCAGGTCGGTTTTTGAGGTCGCGGGGGCGATCTTGGCGGCCGCAAATCGGGCACAGTTTTGTCAGGGAGAGGCATGCCCTTTCCCAGCCCCCCCCCTGCGCTCTGTGATGTAGACGTGGCTCATAGTTGACAGTGTAGCGACGGAGAGCTGTCAACTTGGGGGCAACATGGGCAGTCATGTTTTTTGTTAGAGAGACTGCTTTTTTGAATGGCCTACTGATAACCTGGGATCACGGGCCCGCCCCCTCCCCCCCGATAACTAGACCTTGTCGGTTGCGCGCGTCCGAGGAGGGCGGGCGCAGTATGGGTGCGCGAGGGCACACGTGGGGCTGCTCGAGGCGAAAAGGTTTGGCTATGGGCCTTCACCTCCCCCCACACGCTCCCGATGACCCGGATTCTCCCCGAAAAATCTGAAAATGTCTCTTGGGCAGGGGTCGATTATCACGCAACCAGCCGCTCCCCCCCCCGGGCACCTTGCCGCAGACCCTCGCCCTCGGGCCGGCGCCTCGGCCGCGTGCGCGCCGCGCTCTCGCGAGGATTGGCCGCGGCGGCCCGCGGCGGCGTCGGCCAGCGGCCGGGCTGGCCGGGCCGTGGGCGCGGCTGGGACGGCGGAGGAGGAGGAGGAGGAGGAGGAGGAGGAGGAGGAGGAAGAGGAGGAGGAGGAAAAGGAGAGGAGGAGGAGGGAGGAGAGGAGGAGGAGGAGGAGGAGGAGGAGGAGGAGGGGGAGGGGGAGGAGAGGAGGAGGGAGGAGGAGGTGGAGGAGGAGGAGGAGGGAGGCGGAGGAGGAGGGAGGAGGAGGGAGGACGACGCGCACGACCGTGTGAGGTACGACCGAATTGGAAGACAAACACCAAACCAAACGAGTTGCCAGGGGCCCGAGGATCCGAAGACGAGGTCCTTATCCTCCTCTGCTCCCTGGGCGCGCCTGGCCTCGACCTGCGCGCCGAGGGCCTCCACCTCGCACCGCAGGAGGCCCATCAGCGCGAGTCCTCGCACTAGATCGGCAGCTGGGCCCTCGCGGACGACCGCCGGCGACTGCCGCGCCTGCCTCGGGTGCCCCTGGAGGCCTTGGGCCCAGGCCGAGAAGAAAGGGGCCCACTCTCCCCTCGTTTCCAAGGCGGGGGCCCCTAGGTAAGCCATCGTGAGCCCTCTGGGGTTCCGATGGGCAGGGTACAGTCCAGCACGAAACTTCGTGAAGTAGAAGGCCCGCCCACTTGACGACGACGACGACGACGGCCGACACGGCGCCCGAAGATTCCCCCGTTTCGTGTTGGTGTGGGCCATGGTCCCGCAGGCGGTGCAACGCAACATGCTGTCATGAAACGTGCAGCGGTCCGCCTCATAAACATCTCCCTGCTCAAGAGTGTGACCATTCTGGAGTCACGCTCCTGGGGCCGGGGGGGCTTCTCATCAGGAGGCTGCTCGCCCTGCCGGGGGCCCCGCAGGGGCCCTCGCACCATCCCCCTCCCCTGGCGCACCCTGCTCACCTGGCGGCTCCACGGAGCCCGCAGCACTAGGCGCACCAGGGCCAGAGCCGACAGGGACGGGGGGAAGACCAGGCACAGGGTCGAGCAGGACGTAGCTCAGCCATTCCAAGCCTTGGTGGTCGTTCTTAGCAAGCTCTCTACACTCGGCCTGCTGACTCGCACAAAGAACTCCGAACCTGCGGACAAACTCCGAGAGCCCAACGACAAGGTGGCGATCGCGCTGCTGCATACGGAATGGCTCAGCTCCTTCCTTGGCGAGACGGTCAGCCTCCGAGTTCCCAAAGCGCTGCGTCTCAGTGGTTTTGCCCTCGCGCACACTCACCCCCTCTAGAGGATCAGCAATCTCAGCCCACCAGTGGGCTCTGGCCGGCTTCTCGCCCGCTGCACCTTTGAGATTACGGAGGCAGCCGACGGTGGCCGCACAGTCCACATACAAGGAAATACGAGTGCCAAAAACAGCCCGTCTGGACAGCATAAGCACAGCAACATCCTCTCCATCGCGCGCCAGCTGCTCTGGCGCTTCTCCTGTCGGGACAGCTCCAGAAAGAGCCGCGATGGTCCTCCCATGCAGATCTAGCACAACTGCAGACCAGCCCGCCGTCCTGAGCCCCGCGAAACCTCCCTCGAACCCTGAGCCGTCCGTGAAGACATGGGCCCCCTCGGGAACGAAAAGGGGGCCATCCTGAGGCCACTCCCAATGACGGGTGCACGGGTCCAGGGGGTCTCTTCTGGGCATTCGGATCCAGGACTTCGAGCTGGGAAAGAGACACCTACTGAAGAGCTCCTTGACTTCATCCGAAAGATGACCAATCGCCCGAGCAGCCCTGGCGACCAAGGGATCCAGGTTCTCACGACGCCACCCTTCGTACGCGCAGCACTGAAACCTACGATGGTACATGGTGCCTTTGGCCTCACCGCAGAGTTGGCAAAGATGGGAGGCCTCGGGACTGTACTTAAACACTCGATGCTGGCACCAATACACATTAGCGATCAGGGCCGAGAGAGTAGCCTTGTGGGCCTTAGACCAGGCCCCTGAGCCTTTCCAGCAGAGCAACTGTTGGAGGAGTTCCCAAAAGACTGGGCCGTTCCATTCGCGGAAATCGTGCTGCTTAAGTTGCTCCTCTCTCTCGACCGCTCGCCTGACAGAACTGCGCACCATCAGCGCAAAGAATTTAGGAGGGAATCTATCGATGGACCACTCTTGCTGGAGGTCGTCAATGAGGGCAAGCTTCGAGAAATCAAACCTCCTGTGAATGCGGTCCAAGAGCAGGAAAAGGACCGACACGGGTTGCCGAACTCGGCCCCAGGGGGCCTTGCTGCTTTGAATTTCCAAAGCATCCAGCCCACATAATTCCAAAACAGGTAATGAAATCGAGCGGTTCCACCACGCACTCACAAACTCCTTCACGGCTGAACAAGTCACCACAGCTGGTGGGTCCAGAGCTTGGGAGAGGACAGGAAACGGAATCCCACGTAGGTCCCAGGGAGGAGAGGCCACCAGGAGCGGCAAGCCTGGATCCTCAGCCCTTGGGGTGTTCGCACTTGGGATGCCGCCGAGGTGC